CCCCCCCGCCCCCCAAAAAAACCCAAAACCTGGACTTAGCATCTCAAACAGACTTTCCTGGACAGAAACACTGTGTGTGTTATTGCATTTCAGTCACTCTCTGTGCCTCTTCAGAGAGAACATAGGAAGCCTGCACATGGATTCCTCCAGACTCTGCCTTATCTCCGTTCCCATTACCGACCCATCCAGCTGTGTGTCTTTGCTGTGTCACTACAATAAATAAAACTGTGAGTGCGACCATATGCTTAGTCTTGCAAATGCTTCTACGGACATAATGAATGCATGGGTGGTTGTGGGACGGCCAAAACAAGTGTAGCTGAAGTGATAACACAAGTGGTGTTATCTGTTCCTCACTTTACATATAAAATATTTCATACAAACTCACAATGATCTTTTGCACTAGAGGGCTTAAACAATCACGTACATATGGGGAAAGCATAGCTCAGACCTTGTGCCAATAAAAACAACTTCCTCCCGAGGTAAGAAAGGCATGTCCCTCCCTCTAGAACAGTAGAACCTAAGGGAATGTTAAAATAAATTTCTAAAGAAATGTATCTTATTATACAAAAATACCCCCAAATGCTAGTAATTTTGGGTGAATATTCCCTCTTCTTATTAGTTCAGTTCATTTATACCTTAAAACCACATTCCGAACATAACAGGACAATGGGAGCAGAAATTTCCATGTGACATAAAACCACCACGACTAATACATTACAATTTATTTCTACAACCAAAAATACCAGCTGCCCACTCATGTCCAGTTACCACCACTCCCAAAAAATCTCCTGGTGAAAGTGCATCAATGACAGTTTACGGGAAGTTTGTAGCTATCACTCCATATCGAAAAGAGTAGAAATGACAACGCATAGGATTTTTCACAAGTGGAAGGAGATGAATCTCTACCTGCTGCCTTACATTTGTATCATACAACTGTCATAACAGTAAAAGGGAAGCCCTATAAAAAACGAGAACTTTCACAAATAACCTGCATTATACATTTTAGGGCTTTTAAATTGCAATTAAACTTCTGCTTTAAAGAAAATATTTTTGAAAGTTCTAGTTTACAGTTAATAGTTATAGAACTGAACTCTAAACATTCAGATGTTATTGTTTGAATAACCACTTGAAAGTTGTAAATAAACTTCTTTTTAAAAAAGCAGTGCTCTGTTATATCTTAACAGACCAAGGTCAACAGTTTGAGTCCGCTGAAGCCCTGTTTATATGGTCATGGCTAAAGCATTAATCACATTTTCCGTGGTTGGTCCTAATAAGAATAAGTAATAGGACTGATGATTCTACTGCAGAACTCAAATTTTAAATCATTCTGAGTCTATTTCAAGTTGACTACTAATAAATAAACATGATATAAATCGCTTGAAGACCAGGAATTTCTTTTAATCTTAGAGAAAAGAATTTGCCCGTTTCCTTTTTCTTTTCTAATCCTCGCCCGAGGATATTTTTCCATTGATTTTTGAGAGCATGGAAGGGATGGGGAGAGACAGAGAGAAACATCGATGTGAGAGAGACGCATTGATTGGTTGCCACCTGCATGCACCCCAACTGGGGATTTAGCCTGGGAGCGGGGATCGAGCCTGGGAGCGAGGTATGTGCCCTAATGTTTCCATTTTAAAATGGTGTCAGATAGGTACTAGATTTACTGGAGTGATCACTTCATAAGTTATTCAAATGTCTAATAACTGGGCTAAACATCTGAAAATAATATAGTAGTGTATGTCAACCGTAATTGAAAAATAAAAACGTTATTTAAAAAAATACAGAACTGTGAGAGGGCAGGATCCTGTGAAACATCAATGACTGAATAATGTACAAAGATAAATGGATCATCCTATGTAATAGACAAACATGGTAATTGACCATACCTTCACTACGCTTCCCATTGGCTAATCAGTGTGATATGCAAATTAACCACCGACAAAGATGGTGGCTAATTTGCATACTGCAGGCAGGGCAGGCCAGTGCGAGCCGGCATCTGGGCCCTGTGTGCCGCCTAAGCCCCACCCCCAGCCAGGACCCCCATGTGCGGCCCTGGGTGGCAGCACGAATGGGCTGCCTAAGCCCCGCCCCCAACCGGGACCCCCGTGTGAGGCCCTGGGCAGGCGGGACCCCCATCTGTGGCCCTGGGCAGTGGCGCTTGGCAGAGCGATCGGCAGGAGGAAGCCCTATTCTTGCAGGAATCCTCCTGAAATGGGCTTCTAGTTGTAATAATAAGAGCAATGAAAACGATATGTAGTACTGTTTCTATCAAGTTTTTTAAAAAGTCACTCATAAATATTCTTAGGGTTGCTTGTGTACTATTTATGTGTGTCTACTTAATACCTGTTGAACCTTTGAAATTGATCAGTAGTTGATTTAAAAAGAAAAATTTTAATTTTCCCTAACAAAATTTTTAGTAGGATGGGCAGTTGGGGTGGGAATGGGTGGGTAATTTAAAGCAAAAACTAGTAATATATGGTTTACATAGGCATGTGTAAAACCCCTATTTCAGAAATCATATGCTTTGAAGACAGTTGGGGGATGAGGGTGAGGTTGCCCTTACAACCTGTATTGCTGATTGAGTGTATGGGTCAATTACAATTTAACTATAGCTTCCTTTTTTTTTCTTTTCAATATATTTTTATTGATTTCAGAGAGGAAGGGAGAGGGAGAGATAGAAACATCAATGATGACAGAGAATCATTGATCAGCTACCTTCTGCACATCCCCTACTGGGGATTGAGCCTGCAACCCAGGCATGTGTCCTTGTCCAGAATCGAACCCAGGACCCTGTTCAGTATGCAGGCCGACGCTCTGTCCACTGAGCCAAACCAGCTAGGGCTTAACTATAGCTTTCGACTAGAATCTAAATCTAGTCGAAATAGATTCTAAATCTATTTCGAGTAGGATTCTAAATCTCCAAAAGACTACTCATTTCCTTCACTCCAAGGAGGTCCTTCAGTTAACGGTTATTCTGTGGAGGAAGGCCCCTGGCTTGGGGTTTACAGTTATAAACGTTAATTGGTGTACTCTTTGTTAGAATTAAGCAAAAACAATGTACCAAATGGTGATTTGACTGATCATTATGCCACCAATGAACTCTGAACATTTTAGTTAAGAACTTGTGCTCACTCCTCAGGAGTCTGGCTGTACCATTCAGATGTAAGCAGAGGCAAACAAGAGTTAGGCAAGTTTCAAAAACTTTAATAAAGAAAAAAAAAGACACTTCCAAAAATAAATGCCACACAAATGAAAGTTTATAAAAAAGTGTAAGATATTCATGAAACAAAATCCCTATCAAAATATCCTAAATACTAAAATCTAATGATGTTGAGTGTTCAAATTTTGGGAGAATGCAGCTTATAATAATATAACTGGGAGTGTTCTTCATAATATGCCTGTTTCAAGACATCACTTAATATAATTACTTTTAAACCTATATTTTCTTAAACATTCATTTCACAATTCATTTAAATATTTTACATTCATTTATAGAAACACACTTTCTAACAACGGGTTATTCTGTGTTTTAATAATAATGAACCATGGTAAAATACTTCAGTGATTAAAATGTCTTGCTAATGACTACATCCGTCACAGATTCTTGCACACTTATATAGCTACCGCATAATCAGAAGAGCTATCACTCCTCTTAACAATGACACTCACCCAAGTTTAGTAAACATGCTCATAATTAGAGATGATTTTTCCCAAGCTAAAATACTTTCAAGCTTTCTTTAAAATCTGCAAAGATAACCTGCTTATTGAACTACTTTTTACTGGCAATTTATAAAGCCAGGAGAAGTATCATTTTAGAGTGTTCTCCCTAATCTCTATAGTAAAAAAGAAAAAAGAAAAAGATGTTCTTTTTCAAAGTAAATGGCACTAAGATTCTATTTTGGAAATTATAATTTTAAAATGTGAAGAAATGCAATGTCAGTTATATCTAGAGTGGAATTTTAATGAATTAACCTAATTATTCTCCAGGTCTATACAGATTTTTCTTCAGTGTGGGTGACCCTCTCGTATACGCACACAGCTTAGTACTTCAGTAATTAATCCGTTTTAGTTGTGATCCAAGACAAACCCTAACTTATTCGAAATTCTCTTCTATAACAAGGGACCAATCTATATCACCTTTAGACTGACAGTTTAGTGAACAGATAAAAAGCTAAAGCAATAGAATGTATATAATTAAGGGTAGTTAATTTAGCCAAATCAACAGACCTTAGTCTTACAATTTGGAATTAATTTTCATGCAACATTTAACATAGAGTTTTGATCCTTTACTTATCAAGTATTATTTTATCTTTTTAAGTAATCAAGACAAGTAGTAGAAAAAGCATTTTATTTATATGGAAAAGCTACATTAAGATCTGTAAAAGGTGTCATTGTAATATTGCCTACACAGAAAAAAATTCAAATGTGAATAACAAATAAAGGTTACACATCTTCCTACTTAGCCGTGCAATTAATTCACATTGCAACAAAGTTAAGTCAAGTATAACAAAATCAAAACAAGTGTTTCTCCATAATCAGTATACCGAGAATTACAGTGTAAAGATCATTCAGGTTTAAGAAATCTGCAACTGATCTACACAGAAAACCCTAAGACAAGGGAGACAGACAGTTAATTCATTTAATTATCAGCTGTTCGGTTTTTTTCAATACTGTTCACAGGAAAGAAGTAATGAGTTGACATACATGTAAATAGAATATATTTAGTCTATACAGTAAAAAAATACAAATTATAAAGTGAGCTAACAAAGAATGAAATCTGAATAGATTTATAAAACTGACGACACAGACAACACATACAGTATTTCTCATGTAAAAACATCTAATTTCAGCAAAAAATAATTTGGTTACTTTTCAGATGTTTTGTAGGTCTTGTAAGCTGAAGATGCAGATGTCCAAGTATCCTAAAATCCATAGTAAATGTCTTTCTCAATGCATACAAAAAGACTCTCATCACAGTCTTAAGGGTATTTTTGGAAGTTTGTTTAGTCTTGCTTCAGAAATACATTTAAAATGGATAAAAATCAAAGGATTTCATGATACAATGAAACAGTAAACAGTGCTCAATTTACTGCTAATATTGAAAAAAAACCTAGATTTTACAGTACTCTGGTATATATGAAATTTATTTTTATTTTACATTGCATATTTCTGAGTCCATTCTCTTGCGTGTCTGTTGTATCTGTAGGCATACAAAAGGGATATAGTAAAAACATACAAATTGAATCTTGTAGAAGATCTATCTACATAAAACAGTATACTCTACCCTCCTATGCTTACTTGCAGTAATCATACATATACCAATTACTGGTTCAATGTGACTTCGCCTTATGCATAAATAAAACAGAAAACTTAAGTCAAATTTTTACCTGATGGATTTGTCTACAACCTATATGAAAACATACCTAAATTATAAATAACAAAATGAAAAAGAAAACAATTTATGGTAATAATCTATAAAAGGCAATGAGCATTATTTGTAAATTGCAAATGAATCAATGGTACCAGTAAGATGAAACAGCTTGAAAACTAGGTCAGTTTGGGTGGGTTAGGGATAACTTCTTTTCCTGGGAGATTAGAAATATAATATCCAACACTTCCCAATCACCAAATTCTTTCATTTTTAAATTTACTCCCTAGAATTATACATAATTCTTCCCTACCAAAAACATAACCTACTGTGCAAATACAGAACGTGTACTATTAAAAAGTAAAGGATTGAACAGTATGTGAAAAAGAACAAGATTTTTTTTGTAAAAAAACAGAGTTTAAAAAGAAAGGTTTACTACACTGAAAAAAAACCCAAAATCAATGTTAAGTATAATAAGCATAACTAAATGTACTTATTAAATATATTGGTAATACTTACTTTTCTTTGTCTGATTTATAGATTTGTGCAATATCTGGTACTAAGGGGTCATCTGGATTAGGATCACAAAGTAGAGAACATATGGACAATAAAACTATATTGAAAAGAGAATACCATATTAGATAATGATCTTTCTTCTTTATACAATTACATATGAGAAAATAATTTCATTGAATATAGACAATTAACTTACAAAGAAAACAAAACATTAAATTACATTTTAGACTATAGCTGGTAGCAAGTATTTTTAATTTTTAAAATTATAAAATTACCATATTATATACATAATATGCAAAATTATAATTTTTAAAGGTTTAAATTCTATTTGAATTTCTATTTATTTAAAAAATGTGGACCTCTAAAGTAGCTATTATAATCTTTAAACTCAAGTGTTTTCTACAAAAATATTTTGGTAACACACACATACCCCAAATGATACATAATAAAAAACTTTTTAGAATAGCATCCTAACTTTAGATGTCTCTTAGAGATACTTCTGTAGAGAAAACTGTCCATTTTATTCTATTTTAATACAGAAAGTCTGTGTTCTAATCAATTCAAGGCAAATCAATCAAATTACAGTTAACAGTCCAAACCATTCGAACATTGTGCTCATGTGCTTTATTCTCTGGCTTAGTGATATACAGTGTCCACAAAGAAGGCAGAATTGTAAGGTTTTTCTCAACGACTCTTTTATTCCATGTATATTATTTGTATCGCATGCATGGAGCAACAATGTGAATAGTTACTCTGTAACCTGTATATTTTTAAATACAGATGAAAATTTAAAAAGTAGTTGTTTCTTGCCACATTATGTCAAATACTAATAAAATAGCCACACACACACACACACACACAAATCTAAGTATCTGAAAACAGAGGGAACAAGACTGGTTCCTCTTTTGCCTCAACTGCATGCCACCACTTCTGAGGGGGTCCGTGGAATTTTTGGAACAATCTTGCATCTTCAGCCTCCTCTACTATGCTCCCTTATCTGTTCCTATTCTTCAAATTCCACAGGTGAATGTATAAAGCAAAGTTGATTCTTACATGACACGAAAAGTGGGTGCTAAGAGCACTAATATTAAAACTAATATTTAATTTATCTTACTTAGCTTCCATTGTATATTAAACCTAGGCTAATGTCTCCAAAAAGTTTCCAGATAAAAATCAAAATAAGACATTGAAAATAAGACAATAAAATAGCTGTATTTTAGGTAGCAGGTATAAGCTACCTTACAAAATAAGCAAGAGGCAAGTTCCTCATCTCCCCAGGCCTGCTGCCTAGCCATGAGCCCTGATTTCACTATTATGCACAAAATCAAATGTTTTAAGATAAGTAAAATGGAATGTTGACACTCATTGTGTGCTTACTGTGTGTCAGGTGCATAGTGACCCTATATTATTATAATTCCCCCTTTACATATGAGGAAACTGAGGCCATTTGAAACTGTTACTGAAGACGGTTACCAGAAGGCATCAATACTAATTATTATTATTTTTTTAGTTTGTGCTAAATCATTTTTAAAATGTGTAGCTTCAGGACATTTATTATAAAAAGTTGTTTTCATATACATGATTAACAACTTAAAATTCACCATACATTTACTTCATTTTTTGGCTTGACCATCTAGTAAATCTTTAGCTTCATTGATTTTGGCTGCTATATAAGGAGATCCTCCCTTGTCGGGGTGATTTAAAAGCATAATTCGTCAGTGAGCATCTCTTATTTTTCCTTTATTGGCAGTAGGGCTCTGTAATAGCCACCACTGACGGCAGATTTTGGTAGACTTTGAAAAACTTGTTTCACTTGAGGCTCCATATGCTTCATGGCTTGCAAAACATAACGGCCTGCAAATCCTGCAGCAGCAATGGTCAATCCAATTGCTATCACAGTACTGGCCATGGCTCCGGCTCAGCTCCCCTGCCTCCACCGAGAGTGTGGTTCATCCCAGCCTGAAAGGCGGCGGCCACCAGCTCCCCGCCGCTACCAGAAAGCGAGGGCACCGCCAGCGGGGACCAAATGTCCACACTCGGGCACCCAGAACTCAGTAGCGGCCAATACTAATTATCCTCGCTAATAAAAGAGAAACATGCAAATTGACCATACCTCCGATACACCCACAAGTCACACCCACCACCCAATCAGGAGTGGGTATGCAAATTAACCCAACAAAGGTGGCAGGTTAATTTGCATATGCAGGCACCCAGTGGCCTAGGTCCTGGGAACATCCTAAGGACCCAGGCAGCTCAGAGCCTGCAGGTCCCAGCGTAGGCCCTGAGTGACGTTGGTCCCAGAACACTCCTGGCCACTCCTGGCCTACTGACCTTGGCGCCATGGGGGTGGGGCAGCAGAGGCTTGATCCGAGCGGGAGTGTGTGTGTGGGGGGGGTGCCTGCCCAAGCTGCGGCAGAGGCTTGATCGGAGCTGGGGGGAGTCCTACCCAGGCCATGGCAGAGGCTTGAGCAGGGCCTGAGCAGAGGGGAGGGGAGGTGGTCTTGCCCAAGCCTTGGGCAGAGGCTTGAGCAGAGCTGAGGGGCCCTGCCTAAGCCGCACTGGAGGCTTGAGCAGTCGCGGAGATAGGGAATGTGCCAGCCTAGGCTTGCCAGCAGTCCTGCCTCTGCGGGTGAGCTGCAGGGGAAACACCTTTTCTGACAGTTCATTGGCTAAGCTCCCTGTATGCCACTGGTAATGCTCTTGGTAACTTGGGTAACAAGAATCCAAAAAGGTGATCTAGGGTTTTTCCACCTCACTCCTAGAGGAAAAAACGAAGGTCTGCTGCTGGAGGGCTAAGAAATATCATGTACTACCCTAGCCAGTTTGGCTCAGTGGACAGAGCCTCAGCCTGCCCACTGCAGGGTCCGGGTTGATTCTGGTCAAGGGCATGTACCCAGGTTGCAGGCTCCTCCCTGGCCGGGGCCCAGGTCAGGGCTCATGCAGGAGGCAACCAATCAAAGTGTCCCTCTCACATTGATGTTTCTCTCTGTCTTTTCCTCTCTCTTCCACACTCTCTAAAATTCAATGGAAACATATTCTCAGGTGAGGATTAAAAAAGAAAGAAAGAAATGTCATATCCTATGAAAGAAACATCTTGAAAATGCCTAAAGAAAGTTGTCATTTTTTTCACTGGAGTCCGTGCTGATGAAAACACCTTGGTAGCTGCAGTGGCTGACAGTGGCTGCAGCAGCGGGGGGATGGGGCTGGCACCTTCCCCTAATCAGCCAGGTCACCTCCCATGGACATCAGTAGGACATGCCCTGAGGGTTCCCAGTCTGTGAGAGGGGGCAGGCTGGGCTGAGGGGGAACCCCACCCCCAGTGCACGAATTTCATGCACCAGGCTCCTAGCTCTTTATAAAAAGCTACCAATGTCAGAAGATAAATGTTCAACATCTGGCAGTCTGCCGTTTCTTTTACCAGTATATGTGTAAGTATTTAGCTGCTTATGCCAAATGAATTATATTTTCCGATACCATTCCAGGAATGAACATATGAATTTGAATAACCCTTTGACATAGAATCTTTCCTACATCTAGTGCACAACAGCTACACTACCATGTGTAAGATTTTTTAAAGGACAATGGAATCTACATCAACTTTCTATACAAACATTTTAGGTCAGAAAAACTGCCATTCACAAATAACTAACTGACATAAAGGGCTATTATTTACCTAATACTTGAAAAAATTATGGCTGTAGACTCTGTTTCCTATAAACCTCATCACTTTTAAAAACAAGTCATATATTCAGATAGCATTTATTTCTTTTAATTTTTAAATGACCATGGATCTCTCCGTGAATCCTTCAAGAGAAACAATTTTCTTGAATTTTATAAAAGGAAAATCTATCAAGTTACTTCAGGGGCAGATGTTTCTAACTCAAAACATATTTTCCAACTATCAGGTGCTCTTCTGTTTAGAGAAACAAGACTTGAATTAAGAGGATTCACACAGCAAATAGTATTTGCTAAAAAAACAAAAAGGGCTTCAGATGTACACATCTGATAATTTAGCAAAGAACAACGTTACAGATTACGTTAAGAATCCACATGGCGTATGATTAGTCATTATGATAATACTGTTGATTACTCAAAGTTTAGAGCAGTGATTTTCAACTAGTATGCTGAAGAATTTTAAAACACACAATACCAGAGTATTTAGTCAGGGGCACTGACATCTTTTTCTTAGATTATCAAATAAAAAATGACAACAGCCAACACAACAATATGTTGTGTTGAATAAATCAAAATTATATGTATTTTTTCTCAGATCAGGAAAAATAATATTTTTTGGTGTGCCACAGGATTTTAATAATTAGTGTATGTGTGTCGTAAGATGAAAAACATTGAAAATCACTAGTTTAGAATAATGTTAGATGTACTCATCATTCTAAAATGTGAAATATGTCTTAAATCATTTATTTTATCAACCTAATCTGATATTGCTTCTTAGATGAAGTAAAACAAATGTAAACCTTTAAATCATGTCAGTAATTCCATTTACTAAATGGGACAATGGGCCCTAGAATCATATATTTACTTCTCTCTTCTTAAAGATAAGCTAAAACTAAAGGGTAAAATGTTGAGAGGCTTATCCCCAAATTTCTAGCTCTAACATTTTAAATTTCTCTTACGTCATCATTTAGATTTGCTTACCAACACCACGCCCACCAAATTAACTGTTAAAGGCTAAAGAGGCCTGGCTGGTGTGGCTCAGTGGTTGAGCATCAACCTATGAACCAGGAGGTCATGGTTTGATTCCCAGTCAGGGCACGTGCCTGGGTTGTGAGCTTGAGTCCCAGTAGGGGGCATGCAGGAGGCAGTCAATCAATGACTCTCTCTCATCACTAATGTTTTCATCTCTTTCTCCCTCTCCCTTCCTCTCTGAAATAAATAAAAACATATAAAAAAAGCTAAAAAGAATACATATAAGAGCTATGAAAGCAAAGAAAATCAAAGCAGGACAAAACACAGTAGATTGTTTTGTTTTTTTTGAAAACTTTGGGCCTTAGATACTTCTGTAGTTTTCCTGTTTCACTATTATCAGCTGTCATATATCTGATAAATGAAATTACCTTTCGATACAGTCAGAGCTGGTGACCATTGTGACCTCAGGATATCCAGACAAATACTTCCATTACTGTTTATGTTTGGATGATAAATTTTTGTTGTGAAAGCAATCTAAATATAACACAAAACAAAATAAAAATGTGACAATCCATGAACAATGAGCAAAACAGAGCCAACTTACTCTAGGGTAAAAATGTCTTTAAATTTTAGCACCCTCGTAGAGAAATGTATTCAACACAAGTTGAATGAACATCCACTCTGTGTGCACAAAGTTTTAGCTATTAGGCACGTGAAAGCAGATAAAGTAAGTTTTCCCACTCCCCCGCTTTCCCCACTGCTCTCCCCCGCCACCTCCAGCGAGAAACTGAGAAATATTTTGGAGAGTGCAGTATGAGAGCTGATATGACTGCTGAGTAGCAGCTGAAGTAATTAACCATGGCTTTGATGATCCCCCAAAGTAATCCTTTTCTTCATTTGCTTATCAAGGATACCTGGAAGTGACACTAGGGTCTAAAAATAGGGTGCTGACCCTGTTCTGGGGGAAAGTGGAGGGGCCTGAGTTTGTAACCTGTCCTAAGAAATCCACCAGGAATCCTAATCTCCCACAAGACGTTTTGTTATACCGTTTCATGTGTATATAACGCTATTCAGGTATTTTTAAAAATCTAAAATAATTATTTGCTCTTCCTCTCTGGAGCACACGGGCGCCTTTCCCTGGCCCTTCCGCCTCCCCCAGGTGTGTTACATCTGCCTTTCTCTCTCCTAAGCTCCACGGGCCGTCTTTTGCTCCTGTAATTTGTTTCCCAAGCCTATGTAGCCTGGCTGGCTCACTTCTACTACCTCTGTAATTTTCTAAATAAGCTTCTCTTATAATTTGAAAAAACAAACAAAATGAAATGAAATAATTGTTTCCTGAATGACAGAAGTTGTTAATGATTTTCTCCCTCCTGATATCCCCATCATTTGTTCCCTCTTTAGATCTAATTTAAATTAAACTGAGTAAGAACATGTTTTTATCCCTCCCACCACACTAAATAAAAGGCCTGTGTCTTATTTACTTTTGTATTCTCCAATGTCACAGAACATGGTAAGTGTTCAATAAATGCTTGTTGAATACTTAAAACTGAAAAAAAAAAAAAAAGAGTCAACTTTGGAAAGATAATCCCCTAAATGGAAAAGTCTGATTCCTGACCATAAAACCCAAACTACAGAGATCTAATGAAGAGGAAAAGAAAGGAACCTAATTTACAGCATAACAGACACTGCCTTTTGTTTCACAAACACAATACAATTGTTTGAGTAAGAAACACACTTTAGACTCAGTAGTTTTACAGAACAGTTGAACACGCTAACCTGTCTTGGACATAATCAAAATATCTCTGGATATACCCCTTTTGTCATCAATCACAAAAATAAAAATACCTTTGGTGGTTTAAAAGGATAGTCTGTTGGAAAATGTACAGTGAGAAAGAAGACTCCGCCTTGATATGCGCTATCAGGCTGAAATCACAAAACATTTGCATCAGTGTTTGATTACTACATTTATTTAATAACCTCAAATGACCCCCCTCCCCACCAAAATATGTCCGTTTGAAAAACATGCCATCATTTTGTCAAAAGTTCAAATCATTTACCTTGAAAACAGACTTTCTTTTGCACGTATGAAGGAGGATTTTCCAACTATCATGTCAACATCATAGAGTTAAAGCAAATAAAAATAGGACACACACACAGTTGTGTGACATGCCCAATCAAATCTGTTTACGAGTATAGACTTTGAAATATCAGTATACACACAAGACTGTTGTAAGAAAAGAATGATTTTCTGTGGCAGTAATCAGTATGAAAAAAAGGGATGGGGCTAGTACTTACCTTCTAATCTATGAAACTTAAGTCCTAATAGTCCTCTAAGGGGCAAGAATGGAGATGAGCCCAGCGGTGTGGCTCAGTAGTTGAGTATCAACCTATGAACCAGGAGGTCATGGTTCCATTCCCGGTCAGGGCACATGCCTGGGGTTGAGGGCTCGATCCCCAGTGTGGGGTGTGCAGGAAGCAGCCGATCAATGATTCTCTCTCATCACCAATATTTCTATCTCTTTCTCCTCTCCCTTCCTCTCTGAAATCAACAAAAATATATTAAGAAAAAAAAATAATGGAGATGAACTGAAGAGAACAAGTTATGAAAAGGATAGGCTAAGGGACAGCATTACACAATTTAGACTGCAAATCTTCACTCAATAATAATTTGTAAAATAATGTGAAAAGGTTCCAAACAAAACTAATAAATTCAATATTCATGGAATTATCAAATTAGGAATCAACAAGAAGAATCTATATTTGGCCAGGAATCTTTATGGCAATTAGAAAATATGCTACAAGCGAGGGGAAAAAGATACTTTTTTAAAAAGGTAGCAAACAATAGCTAATATTTTATTTTAATTCCCTTATATTTAATTCAATTTATCATGTTATACTAACATTTTGGTTATAATAGCAAGCCTATCATTACTTCTTCCTTAATTTCTGCATATATATTAGAGGACTGCACTGTATAATTATTCTTACTACATGTGTTGCTTAATTCTAGTTCATAAAAAATAATAAGGAATGTAGAAAACATAAGTATATTACAATTGACAGTCATGGTCTGCTTAGATTTTCAAGTAATACGACAGAATAACATGTTTACATTACTAAAATAAAGGGACTATGAGTAACATAATTATAACCATTTGCTACATGTAATTCACCTAAGAAATATTTTTGAAGGGCTATAATTCAAGTGGTAAGAACGGGTCTTTAAAAGATAGTATTTTGAAGGTTCTTAGTAAGCAACGGAAAACAAACAAATAACCAGATTCTTAAATGTTGTTTAAATAAATATGCTGCATTTTACCCTTTAAAAGGCTAACCTAACAATTTAGCAACTGAGATACTTGCCCAGTACTCCTTCTCTGAAAAATCAGTAATTGTTTTGTTTTTTTTAAGTTAAAGACAAGATAAAGCTCTTTGGGGGGAAGAGAAGAGAGAAAGATGTTCATGGAAACATGTTACTATGTTTCCCAGAAAGCATCTTATCTTTGAGCTATCAGTGCCCATTCTTATGCAATCGGATTTTTGCTCATAGAAAGGAAAGCCTCTTTCTAGTCATAACTGCCTCTTGGATGCAGAAACAAATGAGCTTAACAAAGGCAGTTAAGTGTTGAGAAAGCCACTCATAAAATAGCAGGTAATTTTGACTTCAGGATAATCCAAGAAAACTGAAAGCAGCAAACTCATGAGGTGGCAAAGATAGACCCACTACAGTATTTTATCAGTTCTCTCTCACAAATAGGAAGTGATAAAACTTAGCGCAAACTGGTATTTGTTACTTGTAGGAATTCATTATTGAGTTACTTACACTTATTTCTGACCTACTAAAACTGTTGATGTGAGAATAATTATGCTTAGTTCTGAATGACTGTTTTTTTGTGTTAAAAAAAAAAAAAAAGACAAAGGAAACACGCAGCCTGGTTACAAACTGTGGGTGATCCAGAACTATATGTAACTGATCAAGGGATTGGCAAAGGAAAACACAGGACAATGATCCTAGAAGTACTCGCCATCAGTGCTGTAGACAAGTACCATAAACCCTGTAATTACATTTTGCTTCCTGGGGGCTTCAGATACAAGAAAATTCAACCCAAGCCGCAAATATCTGATCAAAGGTGAAACGGCAAGAATGAAGTATGGCTGAGGGGATTAATTTCATATATAGGAATCATACTTACAGGTCCCATAATAGTTGCTTGCCAGTGGAACACTGAAACAAATAAAGGAGTTTTGGTGTCATTAACAAATGTTGGAACCTGTATTATTAACTGTAGCAAAATGCTAGCAATAAAGCAAAGCTTACAGTCGTCTCCCACAGGTCCGGCGGAGCAGTGAGCGGGTGGGTCACGCTGTAGATCACTTAATTCCTGAAGCGAAACAAAATACTTAAGGTTAATTCTTTTTCCAGTGAAACAGCATAATAATCCATGAAGACACAAATTATCAACCTCACTATACAACCAGTTTAGGCACCTAGTTCAATTCAAAATATAAAAACAAACTGTGGCCTAAGCCTGGGGTGGGGGTGGGGGGTGAGGGAGCCGTGGCCACTGAGCCTCCCTCCCGCTCAGTGTTTCCTCTCTCGCCCCTGGGTTGGGGGTCAGTGCCTGCGCAGGGTCTCCACACGGATTACCTAAAGTCACAGAGAAATGGTGGAAAATTCACCATCCCATTCCCAGAAAGATCAAGTGATGGCTTTGTTCTTTTCTTAAGCTCCGAATTTGGCTTCATACTATATCTCGTACAGGCTTTTATTCCTGAATACTGGCCAAATTCCTTAGGTTGAACCTACTGGCCTCAAAAGTATTGGGCAGTTGCACTGCCCATCTACCTCCTTATTACTGTAATAATCAGTTATGTACTCTTATTTGGAGTAAATATGATGAGTGCCTGGCCACAATTCCATTCAAACAATCACACATACCGTATTTGCCGGCGTATAAGACGATTTTTTGGCCCTGAAAAATATGCCTCCAAGTGGGGGGTCGTCTTATACGCCAGGTACA